TTCTCGAGAAAAATCCCCGCTTCTTTAAAACAGACGGTCAAAGATGACCTTCAAATATAAAAAGAAAGTGGTGTGGGGAAGTATCTAGGACTCCCCGAAAACTTCGGTAGAAAGAAAAAAGATCTATTCGCTTCAATAGTTGATCAAATCAAACAAAAAGCCAAAGGATGGTCAACAAAATTCCTCTCCTCAGCTGGCAAGATGGACATGCTGCAAAGTGTCCTTACAATCGGCGGTTACTCGCTTTTGGTGGGATAAAATTGAGGGTGAGAGGAAAATGGCATGGAAGGCCTGGGATAAGCTTGTGCAAGCAAAGTATCAAGGCGAACTCGGATTCAGAGATTTCCAAAATTTTAATGATGCTCTTTTGGCTAAACTGAGTTGGCGACTACTTCAACACCCAGACGGTCTACTGGGACCTACCCTCTTTGGAAAATACTGTGCAGCTGAGGACTTCTTGCTATGCCCAAAACCCTCTGTAGGTTCCCATGGATGGAAGGGAATTCTTATCGGAAGAAATCTCTTGAAGAAAAATTTGGGTTGGGTGATTGGAGATGGAAAAGATATTAAGATATGGAGTGACTCATGGCTCAACTTCTCAAAACCGAAAAGACTAATGGGGCCACCACCGGAGATATTTGAGACAGCACGGTGGCTGGTCTTTTTGTGACACAGGAACTACTGATTGGAATATTCAGAAAAGCAGAAGTTTATGTCCTTTCCAGGAGCAGCAAACTCTAAGCATAAAACCGAGCAAAAACAGATCAAAGGATAAACTGGTTTGGTTGGGAACTAAATCAAGGGATTATTCAACTAAAACAGGATATGCAGTGGCTAGCTCCACCCTGAGCTTTGACGAAAATCCTCTCAACCAAACTGTGATTGACTTCAACTGGAACAAAAGCGTATGGGGGTTAAACACAGCACCAAAGGTGAAAATGTTATGTTTGGAAAGCTCTGCGTAGAGCACTCCCGGTAGGAACAAGACTTGAGGAACGTCATGTTAACATTGACTCACGCTGCAAGAGATGTGGAGAACCTGAATCTATAACTCATCTTCTATTATATTGTCATTTTGCGAAACAAGACTTGAGGAACGTCATGTTAACATTGACTCCCGGTAGGAACATGACTTGAGGAACGTCATGTTAACATTGACTCACGCTGCAAGAGATGTGGAGAACCTGAATCTATAACTCATCTTCTATTATATTGTCATTTTGCGAAACAAGTGTGGCTTGCTGCACAGTTCAGCTCGGGCTTTGATAGTAGCAGAATTATAGATTTAACGGAATGCTGGGAACAAATGAAGATCCTACCTTGCTTACCTCCTGCAGGCATAGTAGAAGGCTCCCTCCCATCTTGGATACTCTGGTCACTCTGGATTGATCGTAACAAACTTGTCTTCGACAATAAGATTTCTAAGCCGACAGATATCCTGTCCAAAGCAATTGCAGGTGCAAGGGGAATGGAAAGATGGTCAGGCAAATATTAAAACAACCAAGAAAAGAACTCTGACACCACTGAGACAAGGAGGAGAGAATACAAAATGCAGGATTGATGTGGCTTGGAATCCCCTGGAAACATCACTTGCACCTGCAATTGCTTTGAACTGAATGTCCAATCTCCCCTGGTAGCAGAGAGTCTTGCAATGAGAGAAGCCATGACCAAGTGCATTGAGCTAGGTATGCTTACAGTCTGTTTTGAATCTGATTCATCACAGCTGATAAATGCCATAAAAGAAGAGAAGATCCCGCTGGAAGTGTACGGAGCTGTGTATCAGATATTCTCCTTCGATCATCTAGATTTAATTCTGTATCTTTTTGTTGGATAAACCGTGATGTTAATGCGGTTGCTGATAATCTAGCAAAACAATGTTTGGTGGTTGCTGAGGCCTTTATGGCTGCGACCTAACTTTCTCCATTGAATGAATGTTAGAGCACCTCCATCAAGGGATGATGGGGGAGAGTTCACACGCAAACCAAAAAAAATTAATATTAAAATCAGATTTCTATGAACCCCTCTCTCAAAAGTTCACTGCGGTGAACCCTCATGATCACAGGTTCACCACGTGTCAGTTAGTGATTGGTCCATTATTAAATTTTTTTATTTAAAAAAAATAATAAACGAAAAAAAATTAATTTTTTATTTGTGTGAACCCCTCCCCATGAGTTCACTGATGTGGAAGCTCTTAGTTTGTGTTCCCAAAAAACAAATATGACAAGGAAGACAATATATTTCTTTTTGTGATTTTCTTGTTCATTTTTTTGATTCGTTTGTAATTTTTTTTTGTTACCATCTTATATATTAAAGAAAACAGAAGTATTAACTTCATTACATATGTGATTTCTTTTTAATTTAGACCATCACTTAGAAATTTTATCAAATATATTTTCTTAAGACTAATGTATATATAATCTTTAAAATACTTTAATCATAATATTTTTGATATCTTTTCATGTTAAATATAAACATATTTATTTAAAAATTCAAATAAATCTGTTTTAAAAGATTTTTACAAGATTTTAATTTTTGATATTATTTTTACATATTTTCACTAATTTTGAAAATAGTTTGTAACATTATTATACATTAATATATTCAGTTATATTTTATAAAATGAAAAATAAAAAATTGTATCATATTATCTATTATATAATCATAATCAATCATATTAAAAGAAAATTACTATATTGAGCTAAATATAATAAAATTGTATTAAATTAATAAATTTATATATTTTATTTTCATAAGTATAAATTATTTATGTTCAAAAATAAAATTTAATATGTTGGTAAGACGTATTAACGCTAGAAAACTATATAATATATGTTTATAAATTAAGTTGTATTTCATTAAAGCTAATAATATAAAATCTTTGTAACTACTTTAATCATGATATCTTTTCATTTTAAATATAAATATATATATATATATATATATTAAATTTTTAAAATTATAATGAATCTGTGTAAAAATATTTTTACAATACATAATGTATTCTAAGTTATCGTTTATAGAATAAAAAATTTAAATTATATCCTACTTTATTTACTTTATCGTCAGAATCATTATGTTAATAGATAATTATTATATTGAAATAAATATGATTAAATTTTATTAAATTGATAAATTTTATTTTCAGAAATATAAACTATTTATTTTAAAAATATATTATGATGACGGAACGGTTTAAAATTTGCAAGCTATATAATACATTTCTAAAATTTACCATAAATTAAATACAAAATAATTTTCAAATATGTTTTCTCAGTAGTATATTAATTTTATTAATAACGAAATGTAAATACAATAAGATAAATATATAATAAGAAGTGACAAATAAATATGGTTTTAAATAATTGATTAATCTAACATATAAATTATAATATTATTGTATTTGAAATAGTTAGATAAATATTTAAGTATATGATTAACGTTAAAAATATATACCACTTATATTCTAAAAAATATTTATGTATATAAAAGTGAAAATAAACACCTGCGTGGTTATGCTGATCAAAATCTAGTTCATCATTATTATTGTGTTATATGTAAATTATGGTTCTATATGTTTATGTAGAAACAAAAATATGAAAAGATTAATAATTTGTAATGAATTATTAGTTGTTGATAATAATACTGATATGGCTTAACCTCCCCCCCCCACCCCTCCCTACCGTATAATTACTGAAAATTTGGTTTCTGAAAGCAAATATTTACTAAATTTCATCACAATTTTGAAAATAGAACATTGTACACATGTTTATTGTAAGTCTAGAACTAATTGGAAAACAAGGATACAAAGCCATGAAACAAGCAATTTCATTGAATCAAATCAAATGATCTACCAAGAATCTTGAAACTAAACCATATTCTCCTGGAAAAAGGATAACAAAGGTTGCTTCTATAAAACTCACTACCTAGTTAAAATGCTCTTCTCAATGGCCAAAACCGTTCTTCCTGCAAGCTTCGTAGCTAAAAAAACAAAAAAATATCGAAGTCACTAGTTAACCATCTTCAAATCATTGTCATTTATCTCATAAACATCAGGCATCAACTCAACATGACCACCTGAGTGGTTTGCATCTAGAATCCTCATTGTGTTCTACACTCGTGTTGTTATCAGAAGCATTGAGTTCACTACTCCATTGTGTTATATATATATTTAAGTGAATGTGAAAGGGTGCAAGTGTTTATTTGAACCATTGCAATTGTTTATGAACAATTACAACTACATAAATGAAACCTTGCAACTTTTGTTAATGACAACCTTTGGTAACAACTACCTTTATGATTGCAACCCTTGGTGATTAACCATTGATAATTGCAACCTTTGGTAATAACTAACTTTATGATTACAACCCTTGGTGATTAACCATTGCAACTCCTTAACTAACCATTGCAACTCTTCATTAACCTTTGCAACTCTTTATTTTAACCATTGTAACTATTGGTTGCAACCTTTCATTTTCTATATAAAGGGATGTAGGCATTGGCAAATGAGATAGAAAAAAATCAGAAACAAATAGTTAATAAGAGAGTAAGATAGAAATAGATTCATTGTTTAAAGATCTTTGAAGAACATATATAAACACTAAAACTTCTTTTTGTTTCTCTTGTATCTTAACCTAGAACAAGAGTGAGACTTTGATTGTCTTATCCTACAAAGGGATTTCGTGTAACCCAAAGGTTTGAAATACGGTCGAAATACTCTTTAAGGAAAGTGACCTCGTGCACGATTCAATCATTATCCAAGTATATAAGTCACAAATTTCTTGGTTACAACCCATATAACCAACACATTATTCTATCATCCTCATGGCACAGCTCCACATCTCCTAGTTTTCTCTCAGACAGATCATTTTTATCCACCATTTGGCCAGAAAATGTTTCAACAATTGCTATTGTTTCAACTATGCTACCGTGAGATGTAAGAACTGTGTTTTTTCTTTCATAAAGCTCAAAAATTTGGCCAGAAAATATCTTAAAATAGAAAAAATGGTTGGATAAAGAAGGAGAAACAAAAGAACTTTATAGCACCATCAGAAATTTCAAAAAGGATTTGGAAGGAGCCTTTAAAGCATACCAACCGTTTGAAAGAAAACTCCATGCAACTGGAGGAAATTAGGCATTAGCCTTTTCAGTTTTAGGACTGTGATCTTGATGACTTGACAGACGAGATGATTGAAAAAAGTTCTTACTTATCGAACATATATTTCTTTGTAGAAACTTTTTAGGACACAACAGAGTGGAAACACGACCAGTTGTGTCCAAAGATACCCAACTAGGTGTGATCTCCCAATTGGGATTCTTTGTAAGGTTGATTAATTTGATCCACATGAATCCTCTCGACTGGAAGTTAAACTTCCTATACTTTGTAATCGCCATTTCTTATTGGAGTTAAATCTTGACACTCGATTTCGTCACAAGCTGTGTTAGACTCTGCATCCTTGTTGTCAGTCACATCTGAGTTTGTCTTCTGGGGTTCATCAGATGCATACACCAATCTTAAGCCGCACTTGAGTACCTCGACTCTAGCTTTCTCATCTGTGACACCAAATTCAAGGGAAGTAATAGTTGGAGTGCATGCACCTGAGTAATGATCTTCAAGACATTTTATGTTATTTGAGCATCTTGTATAGCAAATAAAAACATGATCTGATGCCATCTTGTCTTGTTTCTTGCCATTTTGCCACCTTTTCTGGTTTCTTGCCATGTCTGTTCCAACTTCCAACCAGGCGGTCGAAGAAGATTAGTGACCCATCTTTATTTTTCAGGTTAAACTTGCATGTAACCGAAAAGGAGTTGATTTCTTCTTGGCCATTTGGAAAGGAGAGAACTACACATAAAGCTATGCCAACAAACCTATTTTCGTTCCAATGTGGGGAAAATTTGAGGTTTAACTCAGATCCAACCGCTTCATGGCAAAACCATGAAGGTACTTCGCAACCTGGAAAGCAAGTGCTGAACAAAGCCTCTGGAATAAAACCCTGCAAAATTTATTACAAAAGTTATAAGTCATAAGGCTACTTGCAAAGCAAGAAAAGGATGAGAGGATACCTCATTGCAGCGTTTTAGTGCATCTGATAGCAACTGGCATTTCCTTTGAGCGTAGGTTGTTATTCCCTCCTTTGCAGTTCGGTCCAATTTTTCGCAGTTGGTGAAAATGAATGTGGAGTGAATTTGCTCCGATGGCAAATGAGTAGCCAGTGGATTTGCAACTGTTTTTAGTGACTCGCACCCGTGTGCATCTAAGCACTGAAGATTTGGTGGAAGCTCTGGAATAGATAAAAGATTCTTACAGTGCTTCAAGTCCAGCCATTTCAACTCAGATAGCAGACTGATGTATCCCGGAAGGAAAATGATTTTTTCATTTCCGCTTAGGCATAAACGCTGAAGTGATGTTATCTTAGGAATCTCCTCTATTGCAGTCCCATCAAGCATCAGAATCTGCAAGCATTTCATGTTCTTCATCTCATCTGGAAGACTACTTAGCTTTGAACAACCAGAACATACTAGTTCTTGAAGATCTTTCAGCTTGTCAAATCCTCCGGGAAGCTTTACCAGCTTCTTGCAGTCTTTCATGCTTAATTTAACGAGTCTTGCTAGCTTCACCATGTCTGTAGGGTCTGTAGTAAGTTGCTTTATTGCACTACCATCCAAATATAAAGCATAGAGAGTTTTTGAAATCACCATAAACTTCTTCAGACTTGAGCAGTTGCTAAGGATGAGTGTCTTGAGAGATTTCAAATTGATATCGGGAAGTGATTCGAGAGCCGTGCACCCTTTCAAGTTCAGGAAAACAAGACTTTCCATTTTTTGCATATCCAGAGGTAACGTTTTTAGTGATGTGCAGCCTTCAAGGTTTAATCTTTCTAGATTTTGAGCCTGTGATAGTCCTGACAAGTTATCCAGCTTACTTGAGTGATTGAGATCAACCCACCTTAGTTTTGCTACATCCTGTAATGAGAAAGGGGCCCAGAGACTAAGTTAGTATAATTCATCTGACCAACTCACTATGGTAAGCCAAAAACAAGAATGCAGTCAAGCTATTTATCCAGAGACTAACCTTTTCTTCTTTCCAAATATGTTTAATTTTGCTGTAAGGTAGCTTGAGGTCTACAAGATTCTTGGGGTTGAAACCTTGTGGAAGTTCATCTTCAGGAAAATTCAGCCAGTGCAAACATCGTACCTCTTCCAGTGGAAGCTCAAGTCCATCAGGGATGTGTATGTTTTCCTTAGGCTCACATTCCTGAGGACAATGAGAACTGTAGAACTTGAGATACCTGAGATGTCGCATCTTCTTGAGGTGATCCCTGCCTAAGGTCACATCGTTCTTCATGTCATACAAGTCCAGGAAAAAACATCTGACGCTGGTCCCGCCTCCCTGTAAGCCCCACAAAGTCAGCAAATTAAAGAGAACAAGTAATGAAAGCTCTGAACTAACGAATGTGTAGTCTCTCACTTTTCTTTTCCTCAGCTTATTGAGCATGTCTCCGTTATTTTTGTTCTGACGGTGCCAAATCCGGTGTCTCCCTCTTCCATCCTTAGCATAAGCTTCTGAACCAACTTCCATGGCAAACGTATACAAAAGATCATGCATCTCTACTCGGCTGTCGGAAATATAAATCATGAACTTGTCCTTGAGAGCATCTATTGTCATTGTCGCTTTAGGACTAGATGAATCCAGCAAGCTCTTTACATAAACCAAATCATGGGATCTGAAAAAAGCTATGTCAAGAAACGCATCCTTCTGCTCTTGACTCAGTTCATCATAGGTTACTTGCAAGACACGGTCTCGAATACTAGGGCTGAGCTTTTGCGGAAGTGAATCTAGTTTCTCTTTCCAGTAAGGAAAGGGTTTGTCACGAAGCTCTTCACCCAATATCTTGAGAACTTGTGGGTGGCCTCTCGCGTAACGCACAACTTCTTTGGATACCTTCGTGAAAGCTTCCCTGTCGTGTTTGTTTTGTTGATCAAATGCATAGCGATTAAAATGTTCTAACCCATCTCGGTAGCACAACAGCGGTACAAAATAAGTATGAAGGATCATGGGATCCCGAGACACTGCGCGTGTTGCAATCACAATCTTGCTACCTTTCTTGATCCATTCACCAAGACCCTCAAAAAGAGTTTGTATATGTGTCTCGTCACTTGTCCCATCAAGAACAATGAAAACTTTGTCTTTGCGTAGTTGTTCCTTGTATTCGTCGTATGTCTCATCATCGTCTATGTCGTCTTTACCAAGCAACTCTCTGAGGAGCATCACGGGTAAGCGTTCTAAGCCCACTTCCTTTACAATGCCACTTATATTTTGGAGTAAGACGCGTCTGGAGAACCTGGTGTACCACTTCTCGTAGAACGCTTTCAAGAGAGTGGTTTTACCAATGCCGGGCATCCCAACAACTTGGACAATACGAGTCTCCACGCCATGAATGTCTACTGTTTCTGCCAGTTCCTCTAGGCGTTGTTTGAGCCCACAAATCTGACCAGCCTCCTCCTCTTCTTCTTCTTGTTCTTCTCCTCTGGTGTTTTGTGCATGTTCACTTGTGCTTTCGTCTAACGAAATTTTGCTCAGCGCCTGCAAAACCTCGTTGACGATTTTGTTGATGAACGTGCTCTCGTTGCTGCATTAGTTTGAGAATATGAAAAAGTGCCAAGAACAGTTTATTTTTGTTTTGTTAAAAGCGAATAACCAATTATTCATTTAATCTGTAACTGTAAGAAAGATAACTGGGAGTAAATACCCAATCAAAATTCAACTATATAATTAAATCTAAGTGACTGAATCATTTTATGTGTTCTACAATTTTAACTACGCCTTACCTAGCCTGCTAGAATCCGCTGTAATAAAAAATTATGGTATACTTATTGTCGATTAATTAATTTACTAGGATAAGCTTGCGCAGGGTGTGCGAGTTTATGTTAACTAAAATATAAAATGTAAGTATAGACAAATTTAAAATTTACAGATTGTTTTTATATTATTAGAAATTTTGGAAGTTTTGTATAATTATCTATACGTACATTTTTCATTTTTTAGTGTTCGAGTGATAGAAAATAAACAGAGTGTCATAGACCTTAAAAGATAGAGCATTATCAAGTTCTTTAATATTTTTTTCAAGAAGCAGTTGGCAGAATATTTTCATTTGAATATATAAAATTTTAAAATTAATTTAATATAATTTATTTATTTGTCTAATAATATCAGAAAATTATATTTTTAAAAACCTTTTACAATAGAGAATAATTTTATAAAAATTAAGTTAAATTTTAAATAATAATTATGTTTAAAATATTTTTTTATTCATACGCTATGAGATATATATATATATAAATTAATATATACACCTATTAAAATAAATTATTGATTCATATGATTTTATAATCATTGTAACTTATTATAAAAAAAAATAGACCTTGATAACAAAAATTTATGTGAGATTTTTAACAATTTTAGTAATTTATACTCGTTTTGAAAATTTCAAAATACAACATAGATAAAAATATAATTTTTATTATATGATTAAAGTAGTTGTATAATTTATTTTAATAATAAAAAATTAAACAAAAATGATATAAAGTATACATATTGTTAACAAATCTTTATCATTTAAAATCATTAATACTCATATATATCTTAACAACATTAGATAATTTCGTACGTTTTATTTAATAAAAGAATATATAGGAAATTTAGTTTTATATATTATTTTGTATGATATATCTGATATGAGACCAACGAACCATGTTTCTAAACTATGCTTTATATGAGATGATCTAGAATCCTTTTAAATTGAAATAAAAAATATAAAGAGATGTCACGTAGAATAAAATTATTTTTTAATTAATACAAATTTAAAGTTACAATTTTTCAAATATATCTCAATTAATATATAGGAAATTTGGTGTGATGATAAATTAATTTAGTCGTCGTAGTGGTTGTTGACAGGTTGTATATTGACGTTTATAAGTGGTAGTGGTTGTTGATGTTAACAATAATTATAAACATACTAAGTTTTGATATCTGCATCTTAAGCCTAATTGGATATTTTAAAAACAGAAAAAATCGTATAAAATTTTTTCAAAATGTCAATTACTTGTATTTTAAATCTTGATTTTTTTTTTCACTAACACTTTTAACTTTCAAAATTATAATTGTATAAAAAAAAACTCCAAAATAAACAATTGACCAGTTGTACAGGTAAAAAAATGATGTGTCAGTTTTTTCTTTCAAAACTAATTATATAATTAATAACAAACACAAAAAATTAAACAAAATTTCTAAAAATTAAATAAAAATTAGAAAATTTAATACAAACTCATATTAAATAAACATTCAATTTATTAAAAAGATGTTCAGAAGAATAAATAATATTTAGAAATTAAATTAATAATTAAAAATTTAAATAAAATAAAATAAAATAAAAAAATGACAAGAAATTCCAAAAATAAATAAGATTAAATTAAAATACAAAAATTGTAATGATTTATTTAAAGAATTTTTGGACAAAATAGTAAATGACATGTGTTATAATTATTCTAGTGGCTTAAACATATTTCTATGATGACTCTAAAAATCATTTTATCGATGACACATCATCACAACATAAATGTTACAATATTTCTTAGAAATTTATTATTATTTTGTATCGTTCTAAACTGTCAAAAAAAAAACAATTCTTCTAGTTTTGAGTTTGGACTATTTCCACTGAATAAAATAAAAAAAAATTAAATAAAAGAATTATTTTAAGTACATATGATAACTTTAAAAATTAACATTTAGATACTATAGTTACAAACACACACACACATATATATATATATATATGAAGATGTTTATAATAGTTTATAGTTAATGCTCACTAACTACTATTATAATTTATATAAAATATATTTTAAATCTAATTTAATTATATTATAAATATTTCTTCAATAAATTTGTAAATTCATATAAAATAAACTAAATATTATTATTAATTATAGTAATTTATATATTATTATTATAATTAGTACTAACAATAAATATAAAATAATATTAGTAACTAAATAATTTTAATATTTTATTATAATATGGTTTTAAATATCTTATAATTATAATATATTAATATAATTAGTTTATTATTAAAATATTACCGTATATACTAATCAAATATTCATAAATCTATATATACGTCCTTTCTAATTGTTACACCGGTTTTATTAATTGTTTAAAACACTTAGAATTGCAAGTTTGCAACCAGACAACCATTCATTTAAACTAGGTATGCCCTACGTCAATGGCAAAAGCAAATCCACAATTATTGGTTTTGGAGATCAGCCACCAATTTTGATTATGTAAATTTCTTTTTGAGGAACCATGATTGACAGATTTTAATATTTCTGTAGATTTTTTTTTCTGTAGATATGTTAGACAGATTTTTAATATTTGACAGATTTTAAGTTTCTTTTTGTATTGTTATTATTATTATTTTTTAAAGTTAATGGGGTTTGTATTATTGGTGTCCCAGTTTTCTGATTCCGCTCGCACCAACATTCTTACCGAGAAAGGTCTTTCGAATGAAGTCTTCTAAAGACCGTATTTTACCCACCTAATGGCTCACGCCATGCTTGTATTCAGATGTTCAATCTTAAAGTTAATAAATTCTAATTTTGTCGAAAAAATAATAGACTATAATTTAAAAATCATTAAAGCGCTATTGAAATTTGGATTATCTCTACAACAGATTTCATGTTATTAAAATATATCATCTATAATCCAAATACGTTATATCATATTTCATATAATAATTAAAACATAAAATTTTCTATAATGATATCACATTATTTGTATATATATAATATCTTCTATGAAAAAATTTATGTTAACTGCTTATAAATATTCATCAAAAATAGAATATTCATTTAATTTTTATGCCAATGTATTTTAGGTTATTTATTATGGATATATCTATTTTGTTATTCTCAAATATGGTGAATATTTTTTCTGTTCTATAATTTAAGAAAAAGTAATATAGAAAAATTAACTTAGCTTTATATGTTACAACATTACTTATGAACGGTGTATTTTTTCTAGGAAAGAATAAAAATTATAAGTTTCTCTTTCTTTTTTTCTTTGGAGATCGCCATTCAATACCTATAACACAGTTTAAAAGAGTGTAGATAGGCTTCTTTTCTTTTCTTTTTTCTGTATATGGTGTAGATAGGCATTTGCTCTCTCGATTAGTTAATGTGGAAATATTAGACATATATAACATTAAACAATTTGTACCTTTTTCCGTCAAATTCGAAGCCCAACAGGTAACTAACATACGCCAGAGCCTTTTTCCAGTTGTTCATCTTGTTATCAGTAACATCTCTCTTTTCTTTTTTTCTGAGGGCATCGCCAAATTCTCCCTCCTGATACCTAACGGTTGCAGGGTCTACGTTGTAGAAGATGGGAATTGTCACGAGCTTGCCTTCTTCCGTTCGTTCTTTTATTCTTTCTAGCTCGTTCATGCACCAATCTGACTCGGTGTACAGTTTGGAAAAGACAGCCAGCGCGATCCTCGACTTTTCGATCTCCTTGAAAAGATTACTTAGAGGTTGGCCTTTCTCCGCACCCTCATCAATAAAGATCTGAACATTTTTATCCTTCAAGGCCTTAGCTAGATGGCTTATGAACAGATTACGAAGTTCCTTCCCGCGGAAATTAAGGAACACTTGGTGCTTAGGTACACTGCTGACAGTGGAGGAAGCAGCCATGGCAGAAGGATTTGACGATCAAAAATGGTTTGGGTTTTGGTCGAGTGGTGGGAGTTGAAATAAAAAGGCCTTTCAAACATATGTTATGACCAATTCCAACCATTTTAAGATTACGACTCGTAAACTGTCTTAATTTATAATGTATTTAGTCTTAAACCAAATATTTTGGTCGAGTAGTGGTACGTAGTTGAAATAAAAAAGCCTTTCAAAAACTTGTTTTGACCAATTCCAACCATTTCAAGATTACGACTCGCAAACTGTCTTAATTTATAACTAAATTTCAATCCGCGCGGTTTAATTTCATTTATATATTTTATAGTTCTTTGTTATATATATATATTAACAATATGCATATGTTTAAAGGTTTGTAATTTCAAATATAATAATTTTATATGTTATATTTAATCAATTGTTTTAATCCGTCACATGTATTTGTTTTTTTAATATATATTTATTTTAATAAATTTACATTTGTTTATTAGTTAGATTAATATATTCATGAAACAACATATTTAATATATGAATTTATCTTTAGTATACTTTTATTCTATTTAATTCAGTATAATAATTATTTTTATATTATAGATTATGATTATAAAATAAATAAAATAAGATAAAAGTTTTAATTTTTATTTTATAAAGAATAACTGAATATATATTAATGTATAATAATATTTTATTATTAATTACGAAATTAGTGAAAATATTTAGATAAGATCTTTGAAATTGAGATATTTTAAAAATCTTCTTCAACAAATTTGTTAGAAGTTTGATATATATATATATATATATATATATATATATATATATTTAAAATGAAAAAATATCAAAAGATATTATGATTAACTAGTTACATAGATTATATATTATTATTCTTAAAAATACATTTATAAATATATAAGGAGGGTCCAAATAAAAAATCACACATCAAGTGAAGTCATGTTTCTATTTTAATATATAAGATACATTAGTCGTAAACCAAATATTAAGGATATTTGGTTCGGAGTTTTGAAAACCAATATATCTAAGTGTAGAATTGGTTATCAAACTTGCTTGTCTATTACGCTCAATGGCAACTCATATTTATACACATTCCAAGGAGATTTATATTGATATTCCTATATATCTATAAACCACATGTTTATCATAACTTAGGATAAGTCTCCACAATATTCCCCCTCAAGTTGGAGAGTCCAAGGGAGTGACACCCAACTTGGATACTAACGTTTGAAACTGCTCTCTTCCAAAGAGCCTTGGTTAAAATGTCAGCAATCTGCAAGTCTATCGTGATGTGTTGAGTAGCTATAATCCCATCGCGTACTGCATCTTTAACCTAGTGACAATCATTTTCGTTATGTTTGGTTCGCTCATGGAAAACCGGATTAGCAGCTATATAGATTGCAGCTTGACTGTCACAGAAGAAACGCGTTGGTGCTTGTTGTTTGATACCCAATTCTGTCAAAAGTTTACGAAGCCACTTAATCTCTCGCAGCGCAGTTGCCATAGACCAGTATTCAACCTCCGCAGAAGAATGAGACACCGTGTGTTTCTTTTTAGTTTTCCACGAAATAGGTGAGCCACCAAGCATCACAACAAAGGAACTCAGAGATCGCCGAGTTATAGGACATGAGGACCAATCCAAATCACAGTAGACCGTGAGTGTAAGGTCCTGATCAGAGGAGAGAAACACACCATAGTCCAACGTGCCAAGCAAGAAACGAACAACTCTAGTAGCAGCATCCCAATGAGCCTGCTTCGGTCGCTTCATAAATTGTGTCAAAATGTGCACTGCATAGCTAAGTTCTGGGCGAGTACGAGTAAGATAAATCAACCGTCCCACAAGTCTTCGGTACTTCTGTGGATCATCAAAGGATGGACTGTCAACGGTAGCAAGGTGATGATTCTGTTCAAGAGGTGTCAAGGCAGGTGCAGGACTGAGATTGTCTGTTTCAGAAACGATTTCCAAAGCATATTTGCGTTGAGAAAGGAAGATGCCATCTGGTCAACGACTAACCTCTATTCCCAAAAAATAACGCAATTTTCCTAGGTCTTTCGTTGAAAAACATCGGCCAAGATAATCTTTGAACTTATGTATCATGTACGCATCATTGCCACAAATCAAGAGATCGTCCACAAACTCGCATCTCCAAACCCTTCTTTGTATAGGAGAATAATGAATAATCATCATACGCTTGAGTAAAACCAAAATTGAACAGAGAATCCGAGAGCTTCTTAAACCAACATCGTGGAGCCTGTTTCAGTCCATAAATAGACTTCTTAAGACGACAAACCTTTCCAGGATGAGTGTGACGAAAGTCTGGTGGCAGCTTCATATATACCTCTTCATCTAAGTCGCCATGAAGAAAGGCGTTATTGACGTCCATCTGATAAATCTCCCATCGTTTAGTTGCAGCAATACGAAGTAGGGATCGAATAGTTGTCATCTTGACAACTGGAGCAAACGTTTCATTATAATCTTTGCCTGCTACTTGCTTGCGCCCATTACCAACAACACGTGCTTTGTAACGCGACACAGTTCCATCAGGGTTGTATTTAATTTTGTACACCCATTGACTATCGATAGCTTCTTTATTTGGAGGAAGATCCGTGATCTCCCACATATCTAGTTCCTTCAATGCATCAACTTCTACATACATCGCATCATCCCAAACTTTCTGACCAATGGCTTCTTTGAAGTGTTTTGGCTCAACTCCAGCAGTGATTGCAGCCATATAGGCTTGGTGACCTGGAGAGAAGTCAGAAGCAGAGATGAACTGAGATAAAGAGTATTGCGACGTACCTTGGACCGCATGAGAAGACTTTGAGGAGGAAGAGCGTGGAGCGTGATGGGTATTTGCAGTAGTAGTTTTATAAGTGACATAATCATTCAGACGAACAGAGGTAGTACGTTGTCGTTGTCCGCGACCCAGAGCCTCTGTTTCTGGAGTTGTAACAACTGTCTCTATTGGCTGAGCAGTATGGGCTTCCAAAGGTGTAGTGTTTCCTTGGGCTTGATGTACTGTATCCTGGGCCTGAGGCAATACAACAGAGCCACTGGAAGTGGTAATTGATCAGCTAATGGTGTAGTAGTTGTATCTTGACTTGTCGTGACTTCTGATTCATTCAGAGGAGTCGTCTCTGTTTCTGCAGGGTCAAGTGAAGGAGACAACACAGAACTCCCCCTGGGTACGAAAGTCGTAACTGGAACCTCCCAATCTTCATCAATTACAACATCACGTGAAGACAGCAATGGAGGAGAGGTTGGTGACTTTGCAAACGAAAAACATCCTCGTGGAATACAACATCCTGAGAAATAATAAACTCTTCTGAATCAGGATCATATACTCTCCAGCCCTTCTTGCCAAAAGGATACCCCACAAATATGCAAAGTCGGCTGTGAGGACCAAATTTATCTTTGTCCCGCGAAGCTCTATGTGTGTAGCATGCAGAAACAAACACCCGTAAGTGACTATAATCAGGTTTAACACCATGTAACAGCTCATACGGCGACCTTCCTTGGTGTAGTTTTGTAGGCGTTCGATTAATCAAATAAGCTGCAGTTAAGATTGCTTTCCCCCAGAATTTGACAGGTAAGCTGGCTTGAAACAACAAGGCGCGAGCCACATTTAGAATATGTCGATGTTTGTGCTCTACTCTTCCATTTTGCTGTGGAGTTCCAACACAGGAAGTCTGGTGAACAATTCCCCGTTCGCGAAACAGAGAGGAGAGACACATAAATTTTGTACCATTGTCACTGCGAACCATCTTTACACTTTTTCCAAATTGTTTCTCTGTGTAAGCCAAGAAGTTTGTGAGGATAGTACGAACTTCAGACTTTTCTAACATAAGATACGTCCAAACTGAGCGTGAAAAATCATCAACAATTGTCAAGAAGTATACAGCTCCACATGAAGAAGGAGCTCTATGATATTACGTGCGAACGCACACCAATTAACCTAATGTGCACACAACCACAATCGAATGGTATGTCAATGTAGCACTTTAAGATCGAATCCACAGAGACCAAATATTACACTTTACTTCTATAGGATCAAATTCAAGCTAAAACGATCAAGTGTTGTAAAATAAAATCGTAAGAAACAAATAACAAAATTGGGTTTTAAATTCAGGATATAAGGATGTCAACCTAGGGTGTCTCATTGGGTGTTAACCATGATGATCCAAACAATTATTCAAGCTCTTTAAGTGCAGTGTAGAACTCAGATTTCTTAACTAGAACACCCTGCTCTCGTAGGTGTGCTCCTTTCGCAGAGGAGAAATGGTACCTATGCTCTCGCGTGGAACAATACTCAACAGCAAACATTAAGCACATACCTAATATGCTCACATCACACCCTGATATCTACTTTCGCTGACCAGGGATGTGATGCTTGCTCTCAACAGATCTAGCAACCTAATTCAAGGTTAATGATAAAATATTAAACTTGGAATCAAATACTAAGTGATCAAATCAGTATCAGCAGTAAGAACAGTGGAGAGCAAAGGCGAGAATATGGCTTATCTATGTTCAGTTCAATGGATCAACACCCTAGAACTCTAGGCTAACAAGATCGACTACTCAGTCATAACAACAGAGAACATAGAGTCAAGAGATGAAGAAGACATGAATATTATTGCAAATAAAAATAAATAGGGTTCAGAGGATTCTTCTCTAAATCAAGAGAGATGATCTTCTCCCTTTACAAGTATCAAAATCACAATATCCAAAATATCTAAACAATTTTCTCTCCCAAAATAAGCGTCCTCTGTCTAGGAAAAATAGAATAGAATATGTCCCAAGGCCAAAGGCGGCTGGGAGAAGAAAATAGAAATATTAGGGCAAATCCCGAAATCAATTAGAAGTTTCCATAATTTGCGGGAGCAAATCGGGGTTTGCTCCGCATGGGTGCTCTCGCGCAGAAGGAGCAGGCAGGGGGTTGCTCCGTTCGGGTGCTCTGCGATGGAAAACTCTGGTTTTTGTATTCTTTCTTCCATATGCT